TTATATGAGAGGAAGTACGAGATAGTCGTCAAAGACTCTTCACATCAAATACCAATTAATTGATGCTCTTATAAAATCTCTCTTACAATAATGCATGAATCTTCTTTGGAATATGATTAGTGTGATAGAGGGTCTCTTACTTTTGCAAGTGCACGATAAAGATAGACATGTATCCTTTTTCCTCACTTGAAGTTTACCTATTTTTGTATTTATACAACCAACTAATCTTATTTTTTTATTGATTTAAATATTTATTAAATTACAGTTTTGTTTAATTAAATCAGAATCACATCTTTTATATTCAACTATACATATATATATACATACATATTATAAATACAACTCAAAGACTCAATCAACATCATCACTTCACAATGAATGTATTTTCAGTTGATGTCTTCGCTATATAATCAATATATATTTCAAACTCTACCTAAAGATACAAAATAATACTTAATTGATGATATAATTATGCATATAATTAATTTGTTTATTTTTAAGAAAATTAAGTATAATAATGTTAGGGATATAAGTGTTATATCAACGATCCAATTATTCGTGTAATATATTGAATACATTATTATTTAAAAATTTATTTTAATATATGACAATCATATTTTTATTATCTTATTGTTTAATTTATGTGATAAAATATTTGATTAAATTTATAGATTTACATCAAGATGTGGATCTTGATAATGAGAATAAAATATTTTATGATTTAATTTAAAATATTTTTAGTCGTTGGATCATAAAAATAAGATATTAATTATCTGGTAAAACTAACATATATGTAATAGTATTTATAAAATAAAAATTAGTTGATCTCATTAACTAAATTACATATATAAATTATGCATATAGAGATATGATCATTGAACTCAATTGAGAATTTCTAATGATTAATATTACCTTAAATTGTTAATATAGTATTTTCTTAAAATGATGAGATGTAAGAATTTTCTTAAACATGAGATCATCATAGTAATTGACAAGTCATATATTATATTTTGATTATAAACATCTATAATCATAAAACTATAGTTAAAAATATATTGGGTGTGATTAAATACTTGTATAATTAATGATTGTTAATAAGATGTTATCATTTATTATAATGACTAAGTAAAAATCTTGACGAGCGCAGTTAAACAAAAGAGAAAAAGAGTTTCTTATATCATTTATTAGTCAATTATAATTGACATGAAATATAGTTAGTTACTTATTGAAATTTGACAGTTAAACCATATCTTAGAATTAACCCAGAGTAATAATGACAAAATAAAATATTACATCTTTTTTTAGCAGATTCTTTAGAGTAATTGTACATTTCATGTGTAATAACTGAGAAAGAGATAGATATATGTGTATATATATAAGGAAACAAATAGATGAATAAAATAAAGGAGAGAGATAATAGTAAAATGGAGAGTGTAAAATAGATTAGTGGAAAGGAAGTGGACGGCTAGGATTCGTGAAGATGGGGAAAGGGGATAGACGGTCAAGATGTGTGATAGGTGGATTATAAAAAGGGAATGAAAAGAATAAAAAAGGGGGAGAGGGAGAAGGAAAAGAAAAAAACAAGAAAAAAAGGAAAGAAAAAGGGAG